TATATATATATATATATATATATATATATATATATATACCAGCAGACCAACACAAAAGTAAACAACAACCGACCTAACTAGATCAGTTACAATTACAATAGGAAAATTACAAAAATACCCTCCTCGATGCTAATAATTATCATAAAAAGTGGTTGCAAGTAGGAAGCAGAAAAGCGCAACGAAATGCAGAGGCATTCGAGAAACTAACGTGTCTAATTTGTGTCTCGGTTACAAATTATGTTTAGCAAGAGTTAATCATCAAATTTAATATGAAACAATGAGATTAGAAACCAAGAAATGGAGTTTCTTTCACTTTTATGCATTTTTGTTACAAATGAGTTAAATAGCAAATTGATCCCGTAAGTCTCAGGAGGATGCAGTGAAAAATCCCATCTACCTTGGGTTCGAATCCGGACGCTGCCAAAGCCCTTGCCTGGGAGATCAGTCAGTGCATGTAAGCTGGACCAAAAACTCATAGTTAACAAAAAGAAAATGTTATATGGTTGAATTCTGTTCCCTGTATTTCAACCAAAAAACGTCTCTCTTAAATGTACGTAACGACAAAATTAGACATGAATTTGGTACGAACACGGACGTAATACAAATTCATTACATATTCAAAATGATCAATCTAAGAATGTGACACTTACCATTTTCAATAATAAAACTAGATTCGTGATCTTTATGAATACCTAACCTATATAATATAAAACCAAACTCTATCTAATCAAAGGGTGATGCATGATTGGTTTGAGCTTGGCTTCAAAGATTAAAAGTACATGGAGGTCTCAGGTTCAAATCCAAGGAGGAATAAAACTCCCCTTGTGGCCACGGAGGTTTAAATGCGGTAACTCCAGGCTATCTGCAAAGCAGGTGGTCGTCCTAGGATTACTCGGCTCGCATAGCGGGTTGGATATCCAGGTTAATAAAAAAAAAAACTCTTTATCTTAAAAGATCATCAATCCATCAATAAAACCCCGTTTGGTTTGCAACATTGGATTGGATTTGAAGGGATTTTGAAATTGAATTCTATTTTAATTCTGTATTTGATTTAAAAGATTTACTGGATTTAAATTTCTGAAATTTCATTGAAATCCTACAAACATGAGATAAGTTGGTATTTCATGGGATTTTATAGGATTTGTTTGCAATAATGTTTTAAAATATGTTAAAAACATTTGTTTTGTAATAATCAATTGATAAAAGAAGGTAATCTAATTTTTTTTATAACTTAATTTTTATAAATTATCTGTAAAAAATGGAATAAACCAAACACACCCAAAATTCCAAATTCTTCCATTAAATCCACATCCATAAACAATATTTTATCAAACCAAAAGGTCTTTGGCCTAGCGGTATGTGAATCATCGGCCTCCTAGGAGATCAAGGGTTCAAATATCAACAATCGTGAGAAGGGTGTGTGAGTTCATTTGTTCTATTTAACATATATAAATATTATATACTTCAAAAAAAAATTCATCAAACCAAGTGGGTCCTAAATCCTAATGGGTTGTTTGGTTAGAGATATTAAGCAGGAGGGGCCCATTCAAGTGTATCATAATGATAACATTCACAATGCATTTTCTTTGTTTATGGAATGTATCATAGTATGCATTTTCGTTATTTTCATTGTTTTACAAAGGGTTCATATTGTGCATCTTGTATGTATATTTGGGTATCACAGTGAATACCGTTTGTAGATATCACAATATATATCTTGTGTTCACATAAAGTTCATCGGAATAAGATTCGCCAAATAATAGTCGCCGGAGAGAGGAAAGAGAAGAGATGAGAAATGATATTCATAAAATCCCTAAAATGCCATTAATTAACATTTTAAGTTATAAAATTACCAAAATTATTAATTTCCAAATTTAACCTTTGATTTGTAGTTAAGATTAGACCTCACGATTACTACAAACAAAACAATTATCATTTGATTAGGCCCCTTAAACAGGATTTAATAGAATTGAAAAAAAAAAAAAAGTGATCGATTTTATATATAATATAATAAACACATTTCTCCACAAGCCCAGATGAAATTTACGGGACCAAAAATTCATTCACATTTTCATTCACTGTCATTTTCATTTTTATCCAAATATATAATAATTGGTCTTATTGTTGATTTGCTATACATGAATAATAAATAATGGAATGCCAAAATAATACATTAATCAAGTCTTTTATGAATCTGCATTTCCCACCATCATAGCAACCTTTTGAATTGATCTTCTGTACCTTGATGTTCCTTTACTAATAACATCACTGTTGTTTTTCAAGAAATTCATGTACCATTTCGCCGAAAGCTTCGGTACCCGACTTAGCGTTTTACGGTCAACGTAGTATAAACCGAACTTCACGTCGTAACCGTGCAACCATTCGTAGTTATCCATCAACGACCATACGAAATATCCACGAACATCCGCTCCCTCTCTATCGTTTAAAAACAACGGTTCGTTAAAAAACCAAATATAATATTTACATTCATGAAGATGCGTTTGGTACACCAGACAGAACATGAACAGGAATCACTGCTCCGTGTTTGACGGAACTTTTATGTTGAACAGACAGGAACAATGTGGAACAAACCTTTATTTTACCAATATAACCTCAAAATAAAACATATTTCTCTTCTAAAACATCAAATACATCTTCCTCTTTACATTTTATTTATTGTATTTTATGTTCTTTAAAATTTACCTTACCGTCCTCAAAATATTATTTTTATATGGTTTGTATATTTTGACTAATTTATGTAATTTATCAAATATTAATAATAAAAAATACATAGAAAAGGTATAAAATAAAAATTGAAATACATAAACTTTTTATTTTAGTGTTATTTTTAATCGTCTACGAAAACTTTCTAATGATATATTTTGTTATATTTTAATTTAATAAGGTAATTAAAATATATAAACGACTCATTAGGGATAAATTGTTCATTTTATCAGTTATGTGATGTCCAGTTCTATCTTATACTTATCAAATGCTGAACAACTGTTCTGTTCTGTCATGTTTTGTGTATCTTGTCTGGATACCGAACGTACCCAAAAAGTAAAAGTACCGCGAGATTGTAGAGCAGACCTGATAGACTTGGCTAAAGAAGCAAGGTACGCTGTGTGAAATTGAACTCGTTTGACGTCATTCACGAGCTCGTTGATTCGTGCCCCCTGCACATCGAGGGAAGCATACCCTGCAACGGAGATATTAGATGAGGGCATGACCAATAAAATATTCATAATTTGTTCGATCTGAGAATTGTGAGACTTACCGTTTTCAGTAATAAACATAGGTTTATTATTGTACCGTATCTTGATATAGTTAACGATCTCCCCCATGCCTCGAGGAACAACCGTTAATCCTTCTATCCCGGTCGGTTCGCCAATCGGCACACCATCACGCTCTAGAGCAATATCTAGAAAACCTCGGATTGCACGATTCGCAGTTGGAGAGCAACTAGAGTTGGTACAATCCTTGGTATACGCAGTCGAGTAATGGTTGATGCCAATAAAATCCATACTGTTCTTCAAAAAATTCTTTTCGTCGACGGAGAAACTTGGTAATGTGCTTCCGAGGTATTCGTGCATTTCTTCGGGGTATTCTCCGAATATTACCGGATCAAGTGACCTGTTTTGAGGTTAAGAAGTTGAAGTAAGATCATATATAACCAAGTAGTGTTTGGTTGGTTTTCCATTAATCTTGTGTAGATAAAGCTATTTGTGTGGATTAATTTGTTTTTGTTTGGGTGGGTTTTATCATAAGATGGAATGAACATGTTTTTTAATTGTGAAAATAAACTTGGCTTTTTGCAAAAAGCTCCCCCCAGAAGCTTAAATTTAGCCAAGTTTTTTTTACCAAACCTACCCCTAATTAAAAAAACACTCTACTTCCATCAATGAGAAAAACCCTCCCAAGTCTCAAACAAAAAACCTTCTCAATCTATACAAACAAATTAATCGACAAAGAATGGATGTATGTTGAAGAACATTACCAGCCAATACTGAAAGCCAATGCCCTTTTGGCGGCATTACGATCAAGCTCACTATCCGTTAGCGGTTCGAACATGTAACAATGCATAACGAGCCCTATAAATCCACCTTGTTTAGGCTGCACACAGAAACCCAAAGATTATGAACAATAATGTTCTTAACCAACAAGCAAAAGTATATTAACCCTGCATTGTCAAATAGTGTCGTATAAAATAGCTATACGACACTTTATTCCAAAAGCGTCCTTAAAAACTTGTTAAAACGCTAGAAGACGTCCTATAAACCTATTGTAACACTTTTTGGTTTGGTCCTATAAATTATTTAATGAGGTGTCTTATAAAAACCAATTTTGTGGCAGTGAGAGTTAAAGTTGGTTGATTACCTGGAACTTGTCATGATATAGCTTGGCTGCCATGCCATGGGCTAGTAACAAGTTGTGCATAACAATGAGAGGCTCCACATCCGAATTTCCGGCAACACAGTTGCCAAAAGGCTCGGAACAACGCGAAGGAGGAAAAAGCCCACTTTCGTACGCGTATTCCGTGAATACATTAGGTTCGTTGATTGTGATCCAATACTTCACTCGGTCTCCAAACCACTTGAAGCAAATTTCTGCCATATGTACAAACTCTTCCCTGCCAACAAGATACATAAATTCGTTCCGATAAACTAACAAGAAAGCAAAGGAATTGATATTAGAGTCAAAATTTGGCATTTTAGACGTACTTCATTTCAGGGTTAAGCCAAGACCCGTATCTCTCTTCAAGTTCCTGAGGAAAATCGTTATGGAAAATCGTCACAAATGGCTCGATTCCTGTATCATTTTCATCAACAGTCGTGAATCAATCTCACTTCCACAAAACATATACCAGTTTTTGAGGTGAAACTAACAAAACATCAAAAAATCATGCACGAAACTTGAGTTTGAATCGATTTCTGAGATCAGATGTAGTATTTAATTTTCATCGCATCGCACCTTTGAGGATCAGATTGTCTATTATCTTGTTATAGAACATGATCCCAGCAGGATTAACTTCACCAAACCTTCCTCCTAGTATTGGCAGCACAAAAGAATTAGCAAAGTCGAAAAAGATATCCGAAACAAGAAAACAAAATTGATTTCCCAGGACGCCTCTAATAGTGTTACAATAGGTTTATAAGCGTTTTAACAAGTTTTTTAGGACGCTTTTAAAATAAATTATCGTATTAACTATTTTATATGACACTGTATGAAAAAGTGTCATATAAACACAAGTGTCCTATAAAATAGCTAACAAAAAAGTGTTTTAAAGAACTTGTTAAAACGCCTAAAAATGTTCTATAAACCTTTGGTAACACTTTTAGATATGACACTTTATAGTTTGGTCCTATAAACCCAAGTTTTATTCTATTAGGACGCTTAGACGATCTAAGTTTCCTATAAAGCCATTTTTGTTGTAATGAAAGGATGGTAAGATTGGATAGAATACTTGGAAGAATTCTAGCCCATGAAATCGAAAATCTGTATGCTTTGAGACCAAGGGAATGCATCATTTCAATATCTTCCTGTATTAAAGAAACACAAAGCAATAAATCAAGATTCAAATAAACAAACCATTGTTGATATAAAACACAAACAAATTAGATATTTGAGCAGAAGTTGAACCGTAAACTGATGATAATGATCATCTGCAACATCCCCGTTATCTCCATCTTCTGCACAACCTAGTAACAATGGCAGTGGATTATATGTCACCAGAAAATCAAAACCAATTCGTCATATAAATAATAACGAACAGAAAATCGATAAAACTAACCTACAACAGAATGACAAAATACATCCCAGTTGCTGAGGGATTTAGCATCTTCAAGATAGGCTCCTTCAACCTGCACAATTCCATGAGTTAAGTGATAGAATATATGTATATATATATATATATATATATATATATATATATATATGGGAAAACTGAGGAACACCCTAGTAACTATTCATCCGTACGGTATGCACATGTGCAAACAAGTGATTTTTCCGGTATGCATAACATCTTCAATCACTTATATGGACATGCACATACAATACAAAGGTGTTTCTCAGTTTTTACTTTTTTTGAGGGATTTCTCCTGAACCTCCCTATATATATATATAATGCGAAAGAAAGTGAGAAAAAGAGGAAGATCGACTTGGTAAGCAGAAGTGGCTGCTCCAAAGAGAAACCCATGTGGAAAATCGGATCTTTTGATATGGGGTTGATCTTCTTCTTCTTGCAGTTTGAATCTTCGTCCGCCATTGTTGAAGGCTTCAAGAAGAAGAGCAGAAGCAGAGATGAGAATGAAGAAGAGAAAAATGGTGGGTGATTTCATGATCAAATAAGGACGGATGATATTTCTCTAAATCAACCTTGCTTATATATGGATATTGGTTACGTAGAGTCAACGACAAATATGTTGATATGTATACTTATCATTATGTGTACTTTTAGCCTTATTTTAGTCTAAATATACGGGATTATTGTCAATTGTATGACAACTTCCCCTGCCGTCCCACCAAGAATTTTGGTTTTTTGACCAAAACCAACCAAGACTTTTGAAGAAGACAAATCAAAGAAAGCTAAAATTATGGCCATTGGATAAAGATCCTTTTTTACAGGATATGTATCGTTTCTAAAAGGGTCGACTGGAACAAACTTGAAGAATGGGGTCTGGTAGTTAGTTCAATAATTCCAGCAAAATCTGTTAGGAGTGATTAGGGTGGTGGAGGCTATTGTTTAGACCACAATCATCATTTTCTAGTTGTTCAAGTGTGGCCAGAAATGTGTAACGCGATTGGATGAATAGTTAGGGACGATTTTGGTATTTTACTCTAGAGTCTGGCTTGAACAAGAAGACGATTAATTTGCAATTTGCGAGAAGGCAAGAAGAGGAGAAATTCCAAGATCACATGTATACAAACATGTTGTCGTCCTCTCGTCGTTTTATCATGGAAATTGCTAGGCCCTATTTTGGATTGTTAGAAGACAGGTATGACTACAAATTAAAGAATGGATAAACACACGTTCAAATACAAAATAAACGTTCATCTCGACCAATTGATAAACATACATTCAAATACAAGATAAACATTAAACCCTGCTATTACTAATATCATATAATTTACAATTATCTTGTATTAACTATCTCGTCACATATTCTATAAAGGATTATCTTTTTAGAACTATTTTACACGTCACTGATACATTATTTATATACCAACTTTCTATAAATAAACAACTTTTCTCTTGTTGTTCTTTAGTCTTTTTTTTGTTTCCAAAATAGCTATAGTCCTTAGACTAAATTTAAATAAGACTTCATGGCCACAATAGTATATTATAACCAACTTGCTACCTACCGCTGAACATTTTTATTTTTAATATGTAAAAAAAAGACAACCATCAATACAAAATCAATTAAATAAAAACCAATACACCAAATAATACCATGTGTGTCAACCACAAAGGTGGTGTTTAATTGGTTTGAGTTTGGCTCCAAAGATCAAAAGTGCCTGGAGATCCCATGTTCAAGAAGGAACAAAAATCTCCTTGTGGCCACGGAGGTTCAAATGCGGTGACTCCAGGCTACCTGCAAAGCAGGTGGTCACCCTGGGATTAGTCGGCTCGCATAGCTGGTTGGATATCCAGATTAATCAAAAAAAATACCATGTGAGTCAAAATATTTTATTCGTTAATTAAATATTTATCTACATAACAAAATCTTTGAAAAAAAGACATTTTTATCCAAAACTATGAAACTATTAGAAGGGGAATAAGTCATATGACCAACTATGCAACATAAATTAGAACACCAAAAAAATAAAATTTAGCATATGTAATACCGTCACCAAATGTTAACAATTAGGGGTATTGAATTACCTCTTCCGCCAATCTTGTTTTCATACAATTATGTTGAATGGCATAAAGTGATTGTTTAATGTTGCATAAACACAAAAAACAGTATCATTTCACACAAGAATCTTGATATGGCCAAACAGGGACCAAGCCGAAGGACCAGGACCGGCTCGAAACTGGAACCGATCGGGACCCGTAAAGCCTTATCGGTAAAGGTCAGGCCTTGTTTTTATGAGGAAACCAGTTAAGGGACCAATTACAAGACCTGGTCAAAAAAGCCTAAATACTAGCAAAAAAATCCAGTTGCATTTTTCAAAAAAACTGAAATGACTTTATAGATCCTCTTAAAAAGGGGATAAATTGTTAAGATATGTCATGTTATTATTCATAATAGCAAACAAGAATAAAAAACGGCTTTAAGCACAAATGGTGTTCACTATTCTTTTGGCCTTCTTTAGTTTCATTTTTCGAGTCCTTTCTGAGGCAATTAACATCAAATACCACTTGGGCATATATTTGCATACGTTGATATGTGATCATGTTCGTAGTATGTTATTTAGAGAATCTCCAACGCAATTTTCTAATTGTCTAATATATTACCTACATTGGCTTCCTACATTAAGTTCCAAGGCTGTAAATACTAATCATCAAATCAAAACACAACACATCAAGTCAATTCATCAGACAGAAGAAACGAAATAAGAATCAATGTCACACAAGTTTTAAGTCGAATTTGCTCAAATCTGGATCGTTTTTGTTCAAATATTGGTACGATCTAATAGGCAACATCATCATCGGTATTTTGAATAAGAATCATGCAATTTCATCAACGATAGCTCCCTAAAGAAAACAAACCCTAACATCGACATTTGTTCAAAAATCAAGGATCATGAAGCCACTGTTGGCTTGCAACACCATTTAGTTTCAACAGTAAACATAAAAACGAAGGTATACTTGTATTTGGATCAAGGAATGGCATAGAAAACATACCTGAATCGAAGCAAAAGTCGCGATTCGAATACCGGATTCCACCAACGAGATCTTCTAAAACTCACGATTTCTCGAAATAAAAGCGCGATTAATGGTCGTAATGGTTATAGATTTACAGGTATGTATACAATAAGCTTCAAATCTGGTCTGAAGGTCGAGAAATCTCGACCATTCTTACCCAAATCGACGGACATATCATCTTCCATACAGTTTGAAATCAAATTTTCTGTTTTCTTTGCAAACAGGCCCCTGAAGTTTAGGATTCTGTTTTCTTTGCCCCTTGATCATTTTCAGAAACTTTACTTTAACCCCCTCTCATAAATTTTCATTAATTCATATGTTTTTTAAATATTGGATTGTCTGCTAGCAGTTGATGAGTAATAATGAAATCCACAGCTTATTCCGTCTGCTATGCATGACTGTTTGATAGTGGCTTAATGATATAAAAATTAAAAAATGACTTTTTCAATAAGCTTATTGGGGAAACTTCATACAAAAAGTCAAGGTTTTTTCATACATGCACCTCCAAGTTAAAAAACGCACTTCTTTCATCCTCGAAAAAACCTTCCAAATCTATACAGACAGATTGATTAATACACATATTTCTCTTCATATAAGACTTGATGGAAAATCAACCAAACAACGCTAAGTGAGACTGTTTACTTGTAAAGACGGTCATATTTTTGTATTTGTTATGATTTATGCATTGTGATAGAGTGTTAATTATCATATAAGTTGTGAATAAAAAAAACTAAACGAATGTTGTATAAGTTTATGACAACTAGGGGTGTACAGAAAGTCATCTGATCTAATATCAACCGACCGACCATCATCGGATATCAAATTTTATCTGGATTGGATCGGATGCAAAATTTCAACATCTAAATCGGATAAGTCGGTTCTTGGATGGCAGTCCAACATTCAATAAAACCAAGCCGATCCAATACAATTACCATCCAATTATCATCCAACTAACATCCAATTAATAACTATATATAGTTATTAATATTTTATGGTTTTGTTTTTTAATTGATATTTATATACATGGTTTTTTAATAACTTAAGAAAATATACGAATAATTGGTTGAGTATTGGATCGAATGACTGGATGAATCAAATCAGATCCAATGCATAACCGATAGTAACATCCAGTGGATGGAACCGATCTGATCCAATCCAATCATCCACTAGATTTGGATCAGATCGAATGTCCAATGTTCATCAGATTGGATCGGATGACAAAATCCAACATACAATGGATGATTGGACGGAATCGGATCCACCTAAATCCATTGGATCTCAACCGATGAACATCCCTAATGACAACATATTGAAGGTGCAAAATACGCCCTAAGCTTGGTTAAAACCATGTCTTACGAAGTCTGTTCAAATGCCCAAACTATTTCAACATCTTCGAGGTTGCGGTTTTTAAAATTCATATTGCTAAAGCAGTATTCAAGGACTAGTTAGGCACTGATTTCGCTTTTATTTGATTTTTACAGTTTCAAATAACTATTTTCATCATTACAACAATCATATAACAGCTAAAATTGTAGAAGTTTAACCACAACGGTGATGTCTGATTGTTTTGACCTTTGGGATCCAAAGGTCAAAAGTACCTGGAGGTCCCACAATCATCAACTCCATTTCCATGACTTCAATCTTTTGAATCGTTTAAGCTGTTGTATGCTATGGACTAACAAAACTCTGACAGAAAAATATTTAGAACTCAACGTAATTGACGAAAAATCTGTTCACGATGCAAACTTTTTGAAAACAATGGCAAAAGCCAACAACTTTATGATGTAATGTTATTTGGAAAAGTTACGATTAAAATAATAATCACGTTGGAAATGTGTGCAAAGACGATGACCCGATACTCTGTAACATTCGTGTTTCTGATTTTCGATATTTTAAACGTGTTAAACCATCTCCAGTGGCCAATGGGCACTCAAATGTTACATCGAACGTTATTTTCATATTATTTTCGGTGCAAAATTAAATAAGACATTGTATTGCCGGTGCGACTGTTAAATCTGTATAATTTCCTCTTTATGTATGGGTTTTAACGTAACAGTATTGATTAGAATAATAATCACGTTGGAAATATGTGCCGAAGATGATGACCTGACACTCTGTAACAATTATGTTTTTCGATTTTCAATATTTTAAAAGTGTTAGACCATCTCAGATTGATCGTATCCGGTTATCCGAATATTTAAATGTTTAAAACTTTACATCTTAAGTACCAAAATATAAAATTTAAAAGAACGTTGTTCAAAATATGAATCAAGTTAAAGTACGTTACTTTTTTATATAATTTGTTTTTTTAAATAACTTAAAACATAAAAACATATTTAATTAGTACGCGTTATTCACATAAATATTTTGATATAAAAACATAATATAGTTCACAATTGACTACTAGTAATATAATTTATTTATTTTTTTATAAAAAAAAAAAAAATATATATATATATATATATATATTAAAGTTAATAAATACTAAATGTACCATTTAAAGGTATATAATTAAAGATTAAAATACTTAAAAAATATGGAGAAAAATTAAATCGTTGGAAATTCATCACCATCGATGGTGGTTCGAGATTTGAGTGGTCGTCACTTAGCATGTTAAATGTGAAATTTTGAATAGGGCCCTCGAAAATTTGGGACCCAAATTTACATGTGTTCAAAGTTTTTTTTATCGGTCTGTGTAAAAGTATAGACGGAATTATTTATGTTCAAACCAG